TGTCAATGACTTCCTCAACTAGATGGGTCACTGATGGGGTTGTAGTCACCTTTGGTTCCTCCCTATTTCCTTTTTCTTTTTTTGAGACGAAGTCTTGCTCTGTCACCAGGCTGGAGTACAGTGGCGTGATCTTGGCTCACTGCAACCTCCGACTTCCAGGTTCAAGCGATTCTCCTGCCTCAGCCTCTCAAATAGCTGGGACTACAGGCCCATGCCACCACACCCAGCTAATTTTTGTACTTTTAGTAGAGACAGGGTTTTACCATGTTGGCCAGGATGGTCTCTATCTCTTGACTTCGTGATCTGCCTGCCTCAGCCTCCCAAAGGGCTGGGATTACAGGTGTGAGCCACTGCGCCCAGCCTTTTTTTCTTTTCTTTTTCTTTCTTTCTTTTTTGACAGGGTCTCACTCTGATATCCAGGCTAGAGTGCAGAAACACAATCATGGCTCACTGCAGCCTTGACCTCCCAGGCTCAGGTGATCCTCCCACCTCAGCCTCTCGAGTAGCTAGGACTACAGGCGCCTGTCACCACGCCTAGATAATTTTTGTAGGGACAGGGTGTCGCCATGTTGCTCATGCTAGTCTCAAATTCCTGGGCTCAAGTGATCTGCTTACCTCGGCCTCCCGAAGTGCCAGGATTACAGGTATGAGCCCCGTGCCCAGCCTCCTTCCCTATTTTCTAGTCTAATCATCTAGTCTTCTTGGCAATTTGCTTTTCAAACTACTCAGAGTTCTTTCAATAAATTCTTTTTGCACGTATGTGGTCAGAGATGGTTTCTGTTGATTATAGCTAAGAGCTTTTCCTGATATAAAGTTGGACTCTGGAGGAGTTACTACCTTGATCACCCTTTGGCTGACAGGCAGCAAATGGGTCCTATGTCCTGAGGCAGAACTTGTCCTCCACACATCCCTGGTGATGAGACACTAGTGCTCACACATTCCAACATAGAAGGGGTGTGGGAGCCTTTCTTCTCTCTCTCTCTTTCTTTCTTTCTCATGGAGTCTTACCGTGTCGCCCAAGCTGCAGGGCAGTGGGGCAATCATGGCTCATTGCAGCCTCCACCACCTCCTGGGCTCAAGTAATCCTCCTGCCTCAGCCTCCTGAATACTCGAACTACCACACCCAGCGACTTTTCTCCCTCTCCCCTTCCTTCCTTTCCTTCCTTCCCTCTTTTCCTTCATTCCTCTTTTCTTTCTCTCTGTTTTTCTCTCTTTCCTTCTCTCTCTCTCTCATTCTTTCTCCCTTTCTCTCTCTCTGTCTCTCTCTCTCTTCCCCCTTGCCACCCCCTTTCTTTTTTGTAGAGACAGATCTCACTACGTTGCCCAGGCTGATCTTAAACTCCTGGCCTCAACTGATCCTCCACCTCCAGAGAATTCATTTATAACCAGCTCTTACAGAGAAAAGTGGGGATAGGTTAGAGTCATATATCTAGGTTTTGTGGCTGGTGTTGGGGAAGACAGGTTCTAGTTTCTATGGCCTGCCTTGAGGAAGAGTCTACTTTCTGTGGCTTGTCTTGGGGGAAAGAGGGAAGGAAGAAAAAGAAGAGCAGGAGAAGGTCAGACAAGCCTCTGAGGCCCTTCCAAAGTCCTTCAGTTCAAAGTATTCAGCATGCCAAAGTGCCAGACTTTGGGGCACCACTTTTTTTTTTTTTTTTGAGACAGAATCTCACTCTGTCACCCAGGCCAGAGTACAGTGGTGCGATCTCGGCTCACTGCAACCTCCCCCTCCCAGGTTCAAGTGATTCTCCTGCCTCAGCCTCCTGAGTAGCTGGGATTATGGGCACGAATCACAGTGCTTGGCCTGGGGCATCATTTTCTGAGCCCCAAGAAGGTCATCTGGTCAACAATCCTGAATGTGGCAATCCTTTAAGAATAATTCAGGATCTGGGCCCGGCTTGGTGGCTCATGCCTGTAATCTCAGCACTTTGGGAGGCCAAGGAAGGCAGATGATGAGGTCAGGAGTTGGAGATCAGCCTGGCCAATAAGATGAAACCTCGTCTCTACTAAAAATACAAAAAAAAAGGCTGGTTGTGGTGGCTCACACCTGTAATCCCAGCACTTTGGGAGGCCAAGGCAGGCAGATCACCTGAGGTCAGGAGTTCAAGGCCAGCCTGACCAATATGGCAAAATCCCGTCTCTACTTAAAAATACAAAAAATTAGCTGGGCATGGTAGCACATGCCTGTAATCCCAGCTACTCAGGAGGCTAAGGCAGGAGAATTGCTTGAAACTGGGAGGCAGAGGTTGCAGTGAGCCAAGATCATGCCATTGCACTCCAGCCTGGGCGAAATGAACGAGACTCCACCTCAAAAAAAAAAAAAATTAGCCAGGCATGGTGGCGCACGCCTATAATCCCAGCTACTCATGATGCTGAGGCAGGAGAATTGCTTGAACCCTGAGGGGGCAGAGTTTGTAGTGAATTGATATAGTGCCACTGCACTCCAGTGTGGGCAACAGAGCAAGACTCTGTCTCAAAAAAAAAAAAAGAATAATTCAGGATCTGAATAACATTCAACAAATGATGCTACTGAAAACCAGAGTGTGTGCTAAGCAAAAAGACTTTATCACAGGTGACAAACCCTGAGGTTGGCCAGCTCCCAGTTATACTGTTCAGAGTCAATGGCCCTCTTAGGGCTGTGAAGATATCTCTAACTGTCATCAAATTGTCAAGGCTGAAGTTCAGGGAAATCCACCTCACTCGTGGCCAAATATAAAATGTCATTCCTTCAGGGCATGCCACTAAGATGGTGGCCGAGTCCCTAATGAATTTCCAGAGCATGATGGAATGAAGGCGCCCCAGGATTCTGACATCTAGAGACCACCTAGAAAAGATCCCATACAAATATGATGGCCAAGGGAAAACAAAACACGGAAAACAAAAACAACCAGAAGTGCCAAACATCTGGATCCAAGATGCTCCAGGAAATTACTTTCAGTTCCTTTTACAGGCATGTTCTATCAGTGGCAACAATATTCTACGTTTTGCTAAGGGGCTGAAGGAGGAGGAGAAAAGAGAGTTCGGAGCAGCTCATTTTCCAGCACTTGAACTCCTGGTTGAAACTAAATTGCTTGCTCTCTGGCATCACGGCTAGTTCTACAGTGCCACTTGGCTGCCTGGGTAATTTTCCAGTCCCTGGGTGAGGGACACTGGATCCAGGATAGGGCCATGAGCCGGTTAAGAGCAGACAGAACCAATGACAAAGAACCCCCTGGAAAGCCCATGATGTAGCCCACCCATCTGGGTCTGAATGGCAGGCATGTGAGCAGAGGCAGAAAAGCTTCAGTGCCAAATTGGGAGGATGTGGAGCCACTTCAAGTCCCATCAGACCACTCACATGCCCTTGCAGTTGGAGCTGCCTGCCTGTGGCAACGTAATGCCAGAGTGAGCAGTAGGGGCCCGTCACAGCCACGCAAATGGCGACTGGACAGAGTTGGCCAAGGGCTGCCAGACCTGACAGAGCAGGGGGAGAGGCAGAGATGAGGGAACAAGGCAGCTGTCATTTACTTGGGAGGGAAGAGGTTGGATCCTATAAGGGCAACAGAGGGGAAGGAGAGGGCTCAGTGGGCCCAGGGTCAGGGTGACTGGGAGCAGTGGACCCCAAAGAGTGCTGATCCTGAGGCAGAGGGTACGGTTGAGGAAGGTGAAGGTGTGTAGGCCTCTGCCCAGAGGGAAGCAGAAGGCAGAGGTGCGATACCCTGGGAGGTCCCGCGGCTTCAAAGGGAAAGGGAGAGGATGGGCTGGGAGAGAGAAACAGGAGGGAGAGCCCCTCTGTAGACTTTCCCGAGTGAGTAAAGTACTCATACCCAGGGCTTTATTTGAATTTATCACCTCTTATTAGTGTCTTTTGAAATGCGAATTAGCTGATTAACCACTGCTCACAGCCTTCCAACTGTTCTTTATTCTCCAGCATTCAGCAACTTTGTTCTAAATAGGGTAGGCCACAGTAGCCCACCAGGGGGAAATTATTCTCAAGGTTACAGGAACAGCGACCAAGGCAAAATTAGGCCCTGGCCTGGGTGGAATCAAGCCGGGAGTGAGCTTGTGCCTGGAGCCAGGCTCCAAGCAACCCCCCACCCCCTCCCCCAAAGCCTCCGAGGACGCGGGTTACCCTGGTGTGGGTCCATCCTTGAGAGGTAGGAACAGGGCTCTGGGGAACGAGAGACACTCTCTTCTGCCCCCTACCACGTTTCTGTTGACGATCGTCATGTTCTAAAAGGTTTATTCGTTCTACGTCCCTCGGGAATGGCCGCGCACTGGCTGCGGCTTTCTGTTTGGGACGTGGGTTCACGTTTACGGACAACAAGGGATGGCCCCTGGCAGAGCCGCGTTCGCACTCGCTCCTGCCTCCAGTTTGGCAACACGACACAAAGGCGGTATGGCTTGTATACACTTTCCAGGCTGAGACCCTATTCAGAGGGGGCTGCAGCTTGCGCGTAATGGGCCCCCTACAGACAAAGCCAGCAAGTTTCTTAATTAAGTCTAAGTGAAAGACAGATCCCGCTTACATCTTCAGAGAACCTTCCTTCAGAACTTCAAAAACACCCTAGACTGCCTATCAAATCCAGGCACGAAGAACTAGCTAACCATTTTTTCTCTTTTTAAATATAGAAAGCCAGGCCTCCGGCGCCAACTCTTCAACCCCCTCTCACTTTCCCTGCAATTTTAGACATGCCTCTGGTTTATAAAACAGGAAACAAAGGGACTTCTTGTGTGTCGGAGAAGCCCTCAGAGGGTCTGCATTTCATTCCGGCCTTCCCCAAAGCGCTGCGCTGTCTAAAGAGCTCTTTAACTGGTTTAGTCTCATTAACATTTCCATGAGGTATCAAAGGCGACGCTACGAAACCAGCCTATGTACATATATCACATAAGGATACATCCTGGTACGGAACGATATTAAAAAATTAATTATTAGCTAATTGCCTTTTCAGAAACGTCATTTTTCACATCCCTCCCCTCCCCTCCCCCTTCCCCCAGCCCCAGAAACCCTCTCTCAGACAGACCTTTCTGTTTTCTGGGCTTTGCTGTGATAATGTTCTTTGCAAACAGAAACCAATTATTCTGCAGCAGTAAGTCACCAGGAGTATGAATTGCTTTAATTTTTTCCCCCCTTTTAGCAGCTGCCCAGGGTGGGTTGCGAGGTGGCTGCGGTAATGAAGCTGGGATGAATACTAAAGCGGGATGGAGGCTGGGTGTCCTGCGGCGAAAATGATGTTCAAAAATAAAAGTGCGTTTTTGTTGGGAGAAGCTAATCGATGAATTGGACGTTTCCAAAAACTGTGCTTTCCGCTCTCAATTTGCATCGACAATGCTGCTTTCCCCAATGAGTCCTGTGCACCTGACTAGCTTGTAAAAATGTCACCTTACTGTTAAAGTGCTAAACACGCCCTGTTTTTCCTCCGCCTGTTCTCTCTCTCTCCCTCCCCCCTCTCTGCCTTTTTCCTTCTGCAATTCTTTGCTTTCTCATTAGAAATGCCCAGCAACCTCTGGCAGACAAAGACACTGCAAACAAAGTGTATGGAAAGGAGAAGAAAAAAAAATTAAAAAGGAAAAAAGTGCAGAGGAATTCTTCATTCACTGATCTCTAGAATACATTAATATCTGCAACTGTTGGCACAGCCTAAAATACTTGGGCGGCTAACAAACAATGCGAGCAATGATTCGAAGTCTGGGATCTTCAAATAAACCCCGGCGCTGTCATGGCCACCAGGAAGGAGAATAATGACGATATTAGCTGACCTTCATTTTGTTGTTTCTTCAGACCTGACTGCTGGACCTCTGTTTGCTTGTTACTAGGATTTCTTGGCTGAAAAATTTTAGCATTTCCCAGGCAATACAAGAGCCAGTTTATTAGGTAAATAAACCAGGCCTTAAGCAGTCTTTTCTGCTCCATAATGGGAAATGGGTGAATTGGAACAAGGGTTGAGTTGGAGTTAGGGAGAATGACTAAGAGGCAGAGATCTCATCATTTTTTCCCTCATCCAAAACACCAATGAACAAATCAGACAGAGGCAACAAATCATCAGATCGACATGCTCCCTTTGGTTAACTTAACCAACATCATCCACCAAGTAAGGAATAAAAGATTCACAGACGGAATGGACAAAATAGTGGCTTTCTTCCTCTAGAGATCTAGATCTGCAGTGACATTTCACTTCTCCCAAGTTTACAAGTAACTGGAGACTATTTTATAATGCATCCAAATGGAGCTATTGGTGCTGTGTTTCATTCATCTGTCATAAGTACTTAAACATTCTTACGTTATCCAAGCCATTCTCTAGTGACAATCTTAATGATGTTAATAAAATCAGTAATGCAGAACTGGATCCTTTTTCAGAGTCTTTACATCCAGAGGGCCTTCTGGCTGTCTAGACTGTATCACAATTGGTAATTATTACATTTATGTATGTCTGTTTACTGTCTCAATTCCCTCCCACAACTGCAATATAAGCTCCCTGAGGGCAGGGACCACCACTGTATCCTGCCTTACCCAACACAGCACCTAGAACCCAAGATATATTTGCCTAGGGAGGTGATGACATTTTTGGCTACCTTTGGGGAAATGCATCACATCTTTCAAAGCTTTCAGCTGCCTGCTGGGCACGGTGGCTCACGCCTGTAATCCCAGCACTTTGGGAGGCCGAAGCGGGCGGATCACAAGGTCAGGAGTTCGAGACCAGCCTCACCAACATACTGAAACCCTGTCTCTACTAAAAATGCAAAAATTAGCTGGGCGTGGTAGTGTGCACTTGTAATCCCAACTACTCAGGAGGCTGAGAGAGGAGACTAACAACAACAAAAAAAGGCTTTCAGCTGCCACACCCAAGGTCTTCAAGATGAGAATAAGCCCCAATACTTCTTAAAGCAGAGTATTTCCCTACTGAGAATGAAGATAATGTGTCTGAGTTTCCTGTGGTTTCTACCTTTCAATTCTTTTTTAAACTGTGCTTTATTTTGGAATTAAAAAAATAATTTCAATTTTTAGATTCAGGAGGTACACGTACACATTTGTTACATGGGTATACTGTGTGACATTGAGTTTTAAGGTACGAATGATGTCCTCAGCCAGGTAGAGAGCACAATACCCAACAGGTGGTTTTCCAGCCCTTGCTCCCCTCCCTCTCTCCCTTCTAATAGTCCCTGATGTCTATTGTCCCTATCTGTATGTCCATGTGTACCCAACGTGTGTATCTCCTACTTATAAATGAGAACACATGGCATTTGGTTTTCTGTTCCTCCAGCTTTCAAATTAAAACAACTTATAATAAATGCTTAAAAACACTTGCTTCAAGCAAGAGTTCATGTAAATCGATATAACACACACACATTTAAAAAAAGTTATACAGTCATTTTGTTGGAAAACATGGAGACATAGAAATTTTTGAGACTGTGTAACTGCCCAATGGGTTTACCTTACTCAATGTGTTTTTTTGTTGTTGTTGGTGGTGTTTTTTTTGTTTTTGTTTTTAGACTGAGTATCACTCTGACACCCAGGCTGGAGTGCAGCGGTGCGATTTTGGCTCACTGCAGCCTCCCCTGTCAGGTTCAAGCGATTTTCCTGCCTCAGCCTCCTGAGTAGCTGGGATTTCAGGTGCATGCCACCACACCTGGCTAATTTTTGTATTTTTAGTAGAGACAGCGTTTCACCATGTTGGTCAGGCTGCTCTCGAACTCCTGACCTCATGATTTGCCCTCCTTGGCCTCCCAAAGTGCTGGGATTACAGGCATGAGCCACTGAGCCCAGCCACCTTAACCAATTTGTAACCGCCCAGTGGGTTCACCGTACCCACTACCTAGACAGAGCCGATTTCTCTAGACAGGGGATTCACAATAGAGAAAGAGTAATTAACAAAGAACTGGCCGAGTGGGAAACCAGAGTTTTATTATTACTCAAACCAGTTTCCCTGAACATTTGGGGATCAAAAATTTTAAAGACAATTTGGTGGAGGGGAGAAGCAGTGAGTTGGGAGTGCTGATTGGTTGGGTCGAACACAGGGTGTCCCTGTCTTCTGGCACTGAGTCAGTTCCTGGGGCTGGGGGGGTCACAAGATCAGGTGGTGCCAGTTAATCCATCAAGGGTAGATGGGATTCTGCAAACCATCTCAAGTACTGATCTTAGGTGCAGTTTGAATAGGATCAGAATCTTGTAGTCTCCAGCTATGTGACTCCTAAAGCATAATTTCTAATCTTGTGGCTAATGTTAGTAGTCTAGTTCCCAGGCAAGAAGGAGGGTTTTTTTTTTTTTTTTCTGGGAAAGGGCTACCATCATCTTTGTTTTAAACTATGAACTAAGTTCCTCCCACAGTTAGTTCAGCCGACGCCCAGGAATGAACAAGGACAGTGTGGAAATTAGAGGCAAGATAGAGTCGTTTAAGTTGGACCTCTTTCACTGTCTTAGTCATAATTTTGCAAAGGTGGTTTCAACTCCAGGAAGTGAGAAAAGGAACTCTCAAAGTATGCAGGATATGATCGCAAAATGGTTGAAAGGAATAAAAAAGACAATATATGTTTGCTTAGGTTTGTCGCTGCTATAATGGAATATCACAGACTAGGCAATCTATCCAGGAAAGAATTGATTTGGCTCATGGTTCTGAAGCCTGGGAAGTCCAAGAACATGGCCCTCTGATGAGAGTGAAACCAGCACGGGTGGAAGGCATTAGTGGGCATACAAGACAGAGAGGAAAAGGGGGCTGAATTCCCTTGATAAGTAACCCACTCCTGTGATAATAACATTAAGCCATTGACGAGGGCAGGGCCCTCATGATCTAATCACCTCGTCTTACCTCTTAATACTGTCATAACGGCAATCAAATTTCAATGTGAGTTTTGGCGGAGACATTCAAACCATAGCACATGTAGATTACTATATGCATGCATAGAAAAGAGACTGGAAAGATACACCCAAACAGTTAATAGTCATTATTTGTAGGAAGTGAATTTTTATTTTATTTATTTATTTTTGAGATGGAGTCTCGCTTTGTTGCCAGGCTGGAGTGCAGTGGTGCGATCTCAGTTCACTGCAACCTCTGCCTCCCGGGTTCAAGTGATTCTCTTGCCTAATCCTCCCAAGTAGCTGGGACTACAGCCACCTGCCACCATACCCAGCTAATTGTTTTGTATTTCTAGTGTTTGGAAAACTCTGCCCCTACCGCAAAAGCTCTCTCTCTTTCCCTCCCCCACAAAGAGGCTCCCTTATCTCTCACTTTACATACCGGCCCTAGCTTCCCGCCCAGCAGTTCAAACTGACCAACAGTTGCCCACCACCTCGGCTTTTGGCTTCCCCACCCCCCAGCCCTTCAGCCCCCTATAAAACAACCCTGCCCCTCTGAGTGGCGCAGCCATTTTTCCTTTTCGTCCCGGCTGCCCCGCCCGGAGGCTCTTTCCTCTCAATAAAGCCTGAACTTAAGGAATTTCCTCTAGCCTGCGGTCCGGTTTCTTTCCCAATGAGCCCAGTCTTCCCGCAGAGGGTAGGTCGGACAAATGGTGCCGGAAACCCGGGAGCTGGGGCCATTGGCCCGGCCATGGCCCCCCTCCCCGACCTACCCAACACTGGCCCTGCCACCTCCACATTCTGATTAAGGTAAGCATAGTTTTTCTTGCTTTGCCTTCCCCCGCTTCCCGTCTCCTCTTCCTACGGCACGGTGCAGTTGCTCCCTCTCCGGAGTTCCACACAGACTCCTTGCCTAGTCTCGGCCGAGCCAAGGTAGTCTTCCATTCCGGCTCCAGGAGCCTTCCGAGGGACAGCCGCCAGACGGGGGACGCCCCTCTGACCGCTTCCCTTTCCGTACTTAATTGTACTCCGGGGAATTTGCAACGAACGGGGACGCCTTTTCGTTGCATCTGCCCATCCGCGCCGGAGAGTCTGTAGCTGCGCCTGCCATGGGAAATTCGGAGTCCAAAATACCTCTGAGCACCCCCCTCGGGTGCTTGCTGCGAAATTTTACCAAATTGGGATATTCCCAAACCCTCAGAAAGAAAAAGCTTATTTTCCTGTCCCAGGTGGCTTGGCCCCAATACAAACTCAGTAACCAGTCACATTGGCCCCCGACTGGCACTTTTGATTTCAACACCCTCCGAGATCTCGACGATTTTTGTCGCCGCGTGGGCAAGGACAATGAAATTCCTTACGTCCAGGCTTTTTGGGACCTCTGTACCCACCCCGACCTATGTTCTTCCTGCTCAACCTACCAAATCCTCTTATCTCGAACCCCCCGTAAATCTTCCTCCACTACCTCTCCCCCTCCCTACTCCTCACCGGAGGATCTGCCTGAACATCTGTCCTCTCCTGCCAATCTCAGCAACCAGTCGCCATCAACGGCACGCCCTTCCCCCACTCCCTCTGCACCTCCTACCTCAGAGGCCATGCCTCGCTCTCCCTCTACTCCCTCCGAGCCCCCTCCCTCAGAGGCTGCACTTCCTCTTGCCTCTCCGGTGGCGGCCCACACCCGCTCCCACCAGCCAGCTATCCTGGCCCCACTCCGAGAAGTAGCAGGCACAGAAGGTTTAATCAGGGTCCATGTTCCTTTCTCACTCCAAGACCTGTCCCAAATTGAGAAACGTTTAGGATCCTTCTCAGCCAACCCGTCCACCTATATTAAAGAATTCCAATACCTCACTCAAACATAAGAAGCCCTAGTCCGGTACACTCGACTGGATCCAGCCTCCCAAAATGGGGCCACTGTATTAGCCTCCCACTTTATCTCCCAATCAGCACCCGACATAAGAAAGAAACTAAAGAAAGCAGAAGAGGGGCCAGAGACCCATCCAAGACCTAGTAAAAATGGCCTTTAAAGTATTCAATGCCAGGGAAGATGCAGCTGAGGCTGCCCGCCAAACTCGCATGAAGCAGAAGGCTGCTCTCCAGACCCAAGCCCTAGTGGCGGCTCTAAGGCCGGCAGGGAACCAGAAGCCCAAGGCCGAAACCCATGCCCCTCCAGGGGCATGTTTCAAATGTGGAAAGGAAGGACACTGGTCCCGAGCCTGTCCACAACCACGGCCACCAACTAAGCCTTGCCCTATCTGTCGGCTCCCAGGACACTGGAAGTCAGACTGCCCCAGCTTCCCCAGGGTGCCGGTTCCTCAAAACAGACACGCTGGCGTTACGCAGCCGGCAGTCACCCTCAGTAGGGAGGAGCCTGCTTGCCAGGAGCCGACCTCCGAGGGAGCTCCGTTCCCCAGTCTACTAGGGCTGTTAGACGACTAGCGGGGCCCTGGCTTTCCGACTCCGGTTACCCTCGCCGAGCCTAGGGTCACAAGACATAGGGGCTACCTACTCCGCACTTCCTTCCTATTCTGGCCATCTCACTCCTTCCCAGGTCTCGGTCATGGGAATCGACAGGACCCCGAGTATCCCCTACCAAACCCCACCACTCATGTGCTCATATAACTCCACTCCATTTACCCACTCTTTTTAGTAATCCCCACCTGCCCAGTTCCCCTTCTGGGGCGAGACATCCTTTCAAAGCTGAAGGCCTTCATAACCTTCCCCACCGCCAGCCCACCCAGCCTTTTTCTCCTAGCCCTCAATACTCTGCCTCGGAACTCCAGGCCCTCCAGTCTACCCCCGGGGTATGGTTCAAGGATGACTGGGCCTTCAAGCATAACCTCCTCATCCTCCCTGAAAAGCAAAGGTACCAGATAATCCAAGACATCCATAATTCACTCCACACTGGGCCTAAAGCCTTATACCGATTCCTCAACCCACTTTTTCACCCTCACCATCTCCTCAGTACCATACAGGAAGTCCAGTCCTCATGTACTGTCTGCGCGAAAACTAATTCCCAGGGTTCCTGTCATCCTCGACGCCAGCTTCATCAGCTACGCGGGTTCCTACCTGGCCAAGACTGGCAAATTGATTTCACCCATATGCCAAAGCACAAACAGTACCGGTATCTGCTAACCATTGTTGACACTTTTTCAGGCTGGATTGAAGCTTACCCCACAGCCTCTGAGTCTGCCGGGACAGTAGCCACTTACCTCATTCAAGACATCATCCCACGCTTTGGACTCCCGGCTACCATACAGTCAGACAACGGCCCAGCCTTTATCTCCAAAGTCACTAATGCCGTTTCTACCTCTCTAGGAATTCAGTAGAAGCTACATGCTGCCTACCATCCCCAGTCCTCTGGTAAGGTAGAACAGGCCAATGGCCTAATAAAGGAGCATCTGACCAAGCTCATGCTTGAGCTCCGCCAATCCTGGTTCCTACAGCGGCGCTTTCAAGAACTGACTCGAGTCACCATCCACCAGATGCTGCTCCAACCCTACCCTGAACGAGTGCAAGAAACAGACCTCTCCCCGAACATCCAGGCTCCTTAAGAAAAGAGACCTCTTCAGAACCCCCCGTTGACCCTTGTCAGCAGGAAGTAGCCAGAGAGACAACCGACGCCCCTGACCCCCTCTTTTTCTTTTCTTTAAGGAGTCGGGAATGTTTGGAAAACTCTGCCCCTACCGCAAAAGCTCTCTCTCTCTCTTTCCCTCCCCCACAAAGAGGCTCCCTTATCTCTCACTTTACATACCGGCCCTAGCTTCCCGCCGCCCAGCTTCCCGCCCAGCAGTTCAAACTGACCAACAGTTGCCCACCACCTTGGCTTTTGGCTTCCCCACCCCCCAGCCCTTCAGCCCCCTATAAAACAACCCTGCCCCTCTGAGCGGCGCAGCCATTTTTCCTTTTCGTCCCGGCTGGCCCGCCCGGAGGCTCTTTCCTCTCAATAAAGCCTGAACTTAAGGAATTTCCTCTAGCCTGTGGTCCGGTTTCTTTCCCAATGAGCCCAGTCTTCCCGCAGAGGGTAGGTCGGACATCTAGTAGAGACAGGGTTTCACCATTAGCCAGGATGGTCTCGATCTCCTGACCTCATGATCTGCCCGCCTCCATCTGCAAAAGTGCTGGGATTACAGGCATGAGCCACCGTGCCCAGCCTTATTTTTAATTTTTTGAGACAGAGTCTCGCTCTGTTGCCCAGGCTAGAGCACAATGTCAAGGTCTTGGCTCATTGCAACCTCCACCTCCCAGGTTCAAGCAATTCTCCTGCCTCAGCCTTCCAAGTAGCTGGGATTACAGGTGCCCACCACCACAATCAGCTAATTTTTGTATTTTTTTAGTAGAGACAGGGTTTCACCATGTTGGCCAGGCTGGTCTCAAACTCCTGACCTCATGATCCGCCTGCCTCAGTCTCCCAAAATGCTGGAATTACAGTCATAAGCTACTGCACCCGGCCTCAATACGTTTTTTTTAAAAAGATAATAAATTAGTAGATGAGCTAGATCTTTACCTCAAGAATTTTGAAAAATAAGTTATAGTTATACTAATACAACCACAGGCACTCAAGGTGGTCTCTCTCTCTCTCTCTCTCTCTCTCTCTCACACACACACACACACACACACACACACGTAAATATACTCGCATGAACATAAATACCTAAAGCTATACATAAAGCTCCATAGGAGCATTTCTGGAGGGTTATCTGGCTATTTGTTTATTTATTTATTTCTTGAGACAAAATTGCTCTGGGCATCTCAGGGAAGTTTTCTCTTTTTTAGCTTGCGGCAACCAGGTATCACATTTCTGGGTTTTAAAAGAGATTATATTCAAGGATGCTCCATTACTTTGAATAGGCGAAACATTCCAGACTGATGGGAATTCATACCTGTCAACAGCTATGAATTAGCATTTCAAACCCCTTCTAATGGGACTTACCAACTTCATCTGTATGAGGATTCAGCACCTTGTAGAAAAGCAAATGCTGAATGCAAACCAGGGTGAAAACCCTTTCTGCTAGGGAGTAGAGCCTAAAGGAATGATAGAGATCCAGCTGCCAAGAACAACTCACAGGTTGACAGGTGCAAAATTACCACGCCAGGAATTAGGAAAATAGAGACTACTTTAGATTGACTGATTGATAGACTGATTGATTTGGAGATGGATTCCCCCTCTGTCACCCAGGCTAGAGTGCAATGGCCCAATCTGGGCTCATTGCAACCTCCATCTCCTGGGTTCAAGCAATTCTCCTGCCTCAACCTCCCAAGTAGCTAGGATTACAGATGCACACCACCATGCCCAGCTAATTTTTGTGTTTTTAGAAGAGGTAGGGTTTCACCATGTTGGCCAGGCTGGTCTCGAACTCCTGACCTCACGTGATCTACCCACTTTGGCCTCCCAAAGTGCTGGAATTACAGGCATGAGCCACTGTGCTGGGCCTACTTTAGATTTATAATTTTGTATTTAGAGGGGTAGTAAATATACCTAGGGAAAAAAACCTTCAGGGTGAAATTGTATGTTTGATATCTACTCATCAAGGTTTTTTCTTTCTTTCTTTCTTTTTTTGGTCACCTGGACTGGAGTGTAGCAGCACGATCTCTGCAACCTCCGCCTCTCGGGTTTAAGCGATTCTCCTGCCTCAGCCTCATGGGCCCACCACTACACCCATCTAATTTTTTGTATTTTAGTAGAGACGGGGTTTCACCATGTTGGCCAGGCTGGTCTCGAACTCCTGACTTCGTGATTTGTCCACTTCAACCTCCCAAAGTGCTGGGATTACAGGCTTGAGCCACCACACCAAGCCTGGTTTATCCCTTTTATTAACACTTTTTGTTAGTTTACATGCTTGTTCCTACAAGGCCACAGCCAGAAATGGGTGTGGGAGAAATGAAGTTCTGAACATTTGAATGAATGCCTATTTCAATTAAAATCATTCCCTGGAAATTGTTAACTTTAATGTAAAATGGAATGAGGGAGTCCTAACCGCTCAGAAACAATTAAAGGGAACAGAGCTTTACATATCAGAAAACTCTTGGACAATGCCTAAGAGGATTGGAAAGAAATTTCTAAAACATGTCACCCCTACAAATACACATGAAAAAGTATCTTGAGAATTCCATAGGAAAATATACATCCACTTTAAAAAGAAACTTTGAAGCACAAAAATAAAAGGCTGTCTCTCAGAACACCAAACACTGCTTAAGTTGTGGAAGAAAAAAGAGCTCATTAGTATTTCAAAGGAGGTTGATAACTTATTTCAGTGTCCACACTACGACAGAGGATGAGCCAAGCTTACTCCTCAAAATCCTAGGGACCACTTACTCTCCTCTCCTCTTCTCTCTCTCTCTCTCTCTCTCTTTTCTTTTGAAACTGAGTCTAATTCTGTTGCCCAGGCTGAAGTGCAGTGGCATGATCGGCTCACTGCAACCTCCGTCTCTCAGGTTCAAGCAATTCTCCTGCCTCAGCATCCCAAGTAGCTGGGATTACAGGCATGTGCCACCACACGGGGCTCATTTTTGTATTTTTAGTAGAGACAGGGTTTCACCATGTTGGCCAGGCTGGTCTCAAATTCCTGACCTCAGGTGATCTGCCCACCTCAGCCTCCCAAAGTGCTGGGATTACAGACGTGAGCTATCGCGCCTGGCCAGAACCTGCATGTTAACAAGATCCCCAGATACCACGACTGAGCTGCTCTGGAGGATGTGCCACACCAAATCAACCCTGAAGGGCTGAAAAGTTAGGGAAGGGAAATCAGGGATAGAAAGGAGGGCAGCTATTCCAGGTAGAGGCAGGAATGTGTACAAAGCCACCAAAATAAAGGAAGGCCAGGGATGCCAACTGTTCAGGGTGGCTGGATCCTAGTCCATGGGAGAGAAAAAGAATGTGTGTATTGAGAAGCAAGGGTGCAGGGTAGCCAAGGGTGAGGGAGTGAAGGAAGGTTCGGCCTGAGACTAGATCCTACTAGGCTGTGGGAACTAGTGCTAAGGAGCTTGGACCTTATTCTGAGGGCCTGGGGCGCCTCTGAGGGGTTTCTAAGCGGGAGAGTGAGTTGATCAGATCCCCTGAAGGCACACTGCTCTCCCCTGCCTTGGTGCGCCAGTTCATTGCACTCCGAATAATTCTTTACTCATTTCAAACTACCAAATCCACTCATTTTGTCTGTGCTAACTCAAGTGACTTCCAGTCAGGGTGGCTGGAATGGAGCTGTTTCTCAACCCTCAACTCCTGCAGCACTGCAGATGGGCCACGCACACATCTCTGTCATGGCCACGCCATTTCTGCAGTAAGATGTTTGCCCACTCTCTTCTACTGCTAGAGCACAGCTTTTCAAAGAACAGTTTCCAAGGACCACCTATTTCAGAATCATCTAGGGGTACTTGATAAAATCAGATTCCAAGGCTCAAGGCCCCCTGAATTGGTATCTCTGTGTGAGGGGCCCAGATGTTTGAATTTTTAAAAGCATTGCAGGTGAGGCTCTTGAATATCAAAGCCAAGGAATCACAGTACAAGACTACAGACTCCTGAGACCCACAGCCATCCCATAAATCCTAGAATTGGACACTGCACCTCTATCTACGACCTTGGCATGAGGCTGCTCAGGTAGACGAGTAAATGAAGTGTTTTAAATTCCTCTCTCTACTCATCCTTGATTATGTAACTAATCAAGGTGCTTCCAAAAACCAACCCAACCAATCAAGAAAACTTCTAGGAACTTAATTCCAGTGTAAAAGGACTCCTCGTACCAGGTGAGGTGGCTCATGCCTGTAATCTCAGCACTTTGAGAGGTCGAGGTGGACAGATCACCTGAGGTCAGAGGTTTGAGACCAGCCTGACCAACATGGAGAAACTTCATCTCTACTAAAAACACAAAATTAGCCAGGTGTGATGTCGCTGACTAATCCCAGCTACTCAGGAGGCTGAGGCAGGAGAATCACCTGAACCGAGGAGGCAGAGGTTGCAGTAAGCCAAGATCCTGCCATTGCACTTCAGCCTGGGCAACAAGAGCGAAACTGTCTAAACAACAACAACGGACTCTTCATTCCTGCTGTGTGCTCAGTCTATTGGCCTATGCTCAGAAAGGGCTTTTTCTCTATGACCCAGGAAAGACGTTATGTGCCTTTGAAAGCACCATGGATACTGCTTACTCTTACTACTATTATGAATGCTTCAAATTGGTCATTTAGGAACTAAGAGACACTGATTAGATTCTGTCTCGTATGAGTGTGATTGTGATGTTTCTGTCTCTCTCCTGCTGGACTTTAAGCAACTTGAAGGCAGGAACTTTAAGGCTGATGCACCACAGGATTCCCCCATAGCATGGCCTCGGTGAAGGGACTCAATAAAAATGTGATGAATGGATGAAAGATGACTGTGTCACAGAAGCCCAAGTGTAATAAATAATAGTTCATTTGGAATCTGCACCTGTGTGGGAATTCTCCGAACACCTGCCGGGGCCAGTAACTCCTGTTTTCTCAGCCTATCAAAGAGGGCAGCTGCTTCTTTCCCTCCTGTGACCCACTCTCATTTATCGAAGCTGGAAAGGGCTGTGATTTTTCCCCAACCTGCAGACTCTCTGCGCGATTAGTAGCCCTCCCAAACAGGCTTGTCTGCTAATGTCAATGTGGGAAAATGCAATATAAAAATTTGTTTCATTGAACATTTTCATAAAATGAAAATAAAAAGATATTAAAGGCATCTGGCTATGTTAAGGAGGATTTATAGTACTGAAATTCATCTGCAAAAGGAAAAAATGATAAACACTAGCATAGGATTCTAAATCCTAAATTCACAGGATGGAACATTTAACTCCTGATTTTCCAGAAAATCTACTCAAAGTCATCTTGAAAGGCAGGCTTTTTACTGTTTTGTATTTGTTCAGTGAATATATTGCTGTTTCAGATCAATGCTGCACTTGAAATGGTTTTTAAATTGTAATTTTAAGGGACTCTTTTCTCTAGTAGATACGTAATCTTTAAGCATCATGTTAAAAATTGAAATTAAGCAATTTCACATGGAAATGGAGGTTCTGGCTTTCTTTGAAAAATCTGAAGAATTTTGGGCAATACTGGGCCCACTGCTACCTGGCAACAGTCACCTGGGGCTGACCTCTTAAGAGGGAAGCTTTCTGGTTTTGCTTCTCTACTGCAGTCTGACTCCTTTCTATACCTGTCTGGCTTCCACAGTGAATAAAGAGAAGGAGGCATGGCTTCTCTTCCAAAGATACGTATATTCATGTATCTCTAATAAACGAAAGAGTAAAAATATAAGATGTGCATAGAGGAAAAATAGAGTAGTGGTCACAAGAAATGACTCTTTTTTTTTGAGACGGAGTTTCACTCTTGTCACCCAGGCTGGAGTGCAATGGTGTAATCTTGGCTCACTGCAACCTCTACCTCCCAGGTTCAAGCGATTCTCCTGCCTCAGCCTCCTGAGTAGCTGGGATTACAGGCATGAGACACCATGCTCAGCTAATTTTTTGTATTTTTAGTAGAGACGTGGTTTCTCCATGTTGGTCAGGCTGGTCTTAAACTCCCAACCTCAAGTGATCTGCCTGCCTTGTCCTCCCAAAGTGCTAGGATTACAGGCGTGAGCCACTGTGCCTGGCTGACATGACTCTTAAGTGCAGGTGAAGCAAGATTTAAAGTAGAACAGCAACTGAGGGAAGCCCACTATGTGAGCAAATGCTAAGAAGCAGAAACAGAAAAGCTAGGATTGAGGCAGGAGAAAGAACGAGTTTGGCTATAGTGGGAAGTTTCCATACGGATAGAGGAACAAAGTGGCAGACGAGACCATGTAGAGAGACCATGGCGAGCCTTAGATCCAGAGCCAAAGACTGTGGGCTGTGTACTCTAGGGCAGTGGTCCCCAGCCTTTTTGGCACGAGAGACCAGTTTCATGGAAGACAATTCTTCCACGGACTTGGGGGAGGGGGAGATGGTTTCGGGATGAAACAGTTCCATCTCAGATCATCAGGCATTAGAGTCTCATAAGGAGCACACAACCTAGATCCCTTGAATATGCAGTTCACAATAGAGTTCGAACTCCTATGAGAATCTAATGCCGCCACTGATCTGACGGGGGCGGAGCTCAGGTGGTCATGCCCTCTCAATCACCTGCTGTGCCGCCCAGTTTCTAACAGCGTTTGGGAACCCCCTGATCAGGGCAGGTTGGAGCTCTCCAAGGTTTACTACCAAAGGTCCCTTTATTACCTGGCAAGATAAGAGTAGTGTTTCAGGTTGATCAAGTGGGTAGCTGCATCGAGGATGCACTGGACTGAAGTGAGACCAGGGGAAAGGAAGCCCCCTTGGGAAGGTACAGTTGCAGCAATCCAGCCGTCCAGAGAATGCTGACAGAGAAAATGCAAAGGGAGAGTCCTAAGTGTGCAAGAAATGCTATGTCCTGAGGGGTAGAGGGCACTGGCGGAGAAGAAAGAGCTCACAAAGGAAAGGAATGGTTCAGCTAGAGCCATGGGAGAACAATGGTGCCCAAAACACAAATACTGGAGTGGGCTGGCTTCTTGTTTGGGCATGTGTGTTTATGATGGTGGGGTGAGGGGTTGCAAATGATGAATTTGGTTTAAGCCTTTTGAGTGCCAGAAAATGACAAGCGACAGATGTGCAGGTAAAAGGTGAAAATGGCTGGTCGAGGTGGCTCATGCCTGTAATCCAGCACTTTGGGAGGCCAAGGCAGGTGGATCATGAGGTCAGGAGTTCAAGACCAGCCTGAGCAATATGGTTTAACCCCATCTCTACTAAAAATACAAAAATTAGCTGAGTGTGATGGTACACGCCTGTAGTCCCAGCTACTCAGGAGAATTGCTTGAATCCAGGAGGCAGAGGTTGCAATGTCCCAAGATCGCGCCACTCTACTGCAGCCTGGGTGACAGAGCAAGACTCCATCTCAAAAAAAAAAAAAAAAGGTGCAACTGTGGGGATGCACTGAGTGGTAAGGAGAGCTGGAGCTGGGAGATGGAGAAGGTTTCTAAGAAAAGCAGAATGCCCCAAAATGATCCGGACCACAAAACCCAGGAATGCTTCTGCTCCAGTTCAAGAAACAGTGGAGACGTGATTCTTCCACAAGTAGCCTTAGAGACCAAACCACACTGTTGCCCTGGGTACTCCCAACAACTCCAAGTTTTTATGGAGCCTTTGGAATGATGGATGGGGCTCAGTTTACCCAGAGACAGTAAAATCAGATGAAAGGGGTTAATTTAGAGCTCTTCTCTCTACTGCTAGGTGCAAAACAGTCACATTGGAGCCATGATGAAGCTACATCTATTTAAACAGCCAAATTGATCATTGTAACTGTTTTCTCTCTTAAAATAAACCCCATGCTTTTAGCCATATTCCTGCTTCTTAAAGCCTCTCATGTGAAAGATGCCAAAATAATCCTGGACCTTAAAGAGGTCTTGATTTATCGTTTTACAACTGGTTCCCATGCACCTCCCTTTCCACTTTTTCAGAAGCTCACTATATAAATCCTGCCATCAGATCAGGGAGGCAGGCATGGTGGTGATGGATGTCAAACCTGTGATGGGGAAAGTGAAGAGCAGTTCCCTACTGGGAACAGATAAGCCAGCAGACTTCTCACAGACAGCTCCTGTTACCGACTCAGCCAGCCCGCCCCTTCCTCCTGCTCCCTTGGCCCTCCCCATCTGCTGAACAGGGCTTCCCTTCTGCTGCAAAGCTTCCATTCCCATAGCGTCTTGGTTTGCGTTTTTTGGTGAGAAGTGTTGATTCCAGGTTAATACTGACATTAAAAAATACAAGATTGGTCTAATTTTTAAAAAATCAAGTTGATTTTCAAACAGGTTCCCTTCACTTAAAAAAAATTTTCCTTTCGGTATAAAAAGAGTAAACAGGTTACATGGGGAGGCCCAAGTACCAGGATTGATTAGTGGCACAAAGCAACCACTTTTTTTTTTTTTTTTTTTGGAGACAGAGTTTAACTCTGTTGCCCAGGCTGGAGTGCAGTGGTGTGGTCTCGGCTCACTGCAACCGCCACCTCCCAGGTTCAAGTGAATCTCCTGCCTCAGCCTCTCGAGCAGCTGGGACTACAGGTGCGAGCCACCACACCCAGCTAATTTTTGTATTTTTAGTAGAGACGGGGTTTCACCTTGTTGGCCAGGATGGTCTCAATCTCTTGACCTTGTGATCCACCCACCTCAGCCTCCCAAAGTGCTGGGATACAGGCGTGAGCCACTGTGCCCCGCCAAAAGCAACCATTTAAAGCAAAGTTAATCTAGTTTGCTCATCAGCCCAGGACTTTTACTGCTTAAGTACACGATGCTTCCTTGCATGTACCTGCAAATTTCACCTTTTAGGCTAAGGAGATGTTTTTCATTTGATTTGAGAAGGAAGAAGGGGTCAAGCCTACAGAGGCTCCAGGTAAAATGCTGCAGGTGGGCAGGCTGCCTTTGATACTAAACTTTTTTCTTTCTTTGCTCTCTTTCCACCAGCCAGCCCTCCTCTGCTCAGTGGCCAGGCACCCTGAGACCCACGCTGCTGTCTATGGCCTGCCAGGATGCACAGTGCCACCTCATGTAGGCCTGCTTGCCTGCCTCACCCACACCCCAACTCAGATCATAACATCACTTTCCCATCAAAGCTCCAGTTTCCTTACTATGGATGAATTCTTGGTGGTATTTTTTAAAATCAAGTTAAGTTACTCTGAAAGGTGAATAACCAACTCTTTGACTTCCTACTATCTCACACACAACACACCCAGCTTTGTATCTGGATTAGTGATTTTGTTGGCTTAAACCCTTGGTCATAACTTGGCGGCCAGGGAGCCAAGTTCGATTTGCAGTTATGTTTCGACCCGGTCAGTGTTTTTTGTTTGTTTGTTTTTTGAGATGGAGTCTTGCTGTGTCACCAGGCTGGAGTGCAGTGGCATGATCTCGGCTCACTGAAATCTCTGCCTCCTGGGTTCAAGTGATTACCCTTCCTCAGACTCCCCAATAGCTGGGACTACATGTGGGCACCACTATGCCCAGCTAATTTGCTGTATTTTAGTAGAGACAGGGTTTCACCATGTTGGCCAGGATGGTCTCGCTCTCCTGACCTTGTGATCTGCCTGCCTCAGCTTCCCAAAGTGCCAGGATTATAGGAGTAAGCCACCTTGCCATGCCTGGTTAGTGTTTTAAAAATTGGCAAAGTTGGCACAGTGGCTCACACCTGTAGTCCCAGCACTTTGGGAGGCTGAGGCAGGCAGATCACCTGAGGTCGGGGGTTCAAGACCAGCCTGATCAACATTGAAAAACCCCATCTCTACTAAAAATACAAAATTAGCCGGGCATGGTGGCGCATGCCTGTAATCCCAGCTACTTGGGAGGCTGAGGCAGGATAATCACTTGAACCTGGGAGGTGGAGGTTGCAGTGAGCCGAGATTGCACCATTGCACTCTAGGCTGGGCAACAAGAGCAAAACTCCATCTCAAAAAAAAAAAAAGAAAGAAAGAAATCTGCAAAGTTTGCATAAAATCATCTTTCTCTCTCTCGGCAGATAATCTGCCATCCTGGGGCCAAAGTTTCATGGGATAGCAGATGAGGGGCTGAAGAGCAAGCTCCCTGTGGGCGCTAGTTCACAGGGGCACCTGCCACTCCTGACTGTCATATACTTGGTCTGTATCTCTCTCTTTTTTTTTTTTTGACATTGAGTTTTGTTCTTGTCACCCAGGTTGGAGTGCAACAGCACAATCTCAGCTCACTGAAATATTTGTTCCTGGGTTCATGCCATTCTTCTGCCTCAGCCTCCCAAGTAGCTGGGATTACAAGTGTGTGCCACCATGCCCGGCTAATATTTGTACTTTTAGTAAGGATGGGGTTTTGCTATATTGGCTAGGCTGGTCTCAAACTCCTGACCTCAGGTGATCCGCCTGCCTGGCCTCCCAAAATAGTGGGATTATAGGCATGAGCCACTGCGCCAGGTCTGGGGTACAAGGTAATGTTTTGATATCTATACACATTGTGGAATGATTATACCAAGCTAATTAACATATCCCTTATCTCACATACTTATCATTTTTTTGGTCATGAGAATATTTAAAATCTTTTCTTTTAGCTATTTTGAAAATACAACTGAATATCCCTTATCTGAAATGCTTGGGACCAGAAATGTTTTGAAATTTGAATATTGGAATATTTGCATTATACCTCCTGATTATGCATTCTTTTTTTTTTCTTTTTCTTTTCTCTCTTTCTTTCTTTTTTTTTTTTTTTTTTTTTTTTGAGATGAAGTTTTGCTCTCGTTGCCCAGGCTGGAGTGCAGTGGCATGGTCTCAGCTCACTGCAACCTCTGCCTCCTGGGTTCAAGTGATTCTCCTGCCTCAGCCTCCAGAGTAGCTGGGGTCTACATGCCTGCCATCATGCCCAGCTAATTTTTGTATTTTTTTAAGAGACTGGGTTTCACCATGTTGGCCAGACTGGTTTTGAACTCTGGACCTCAGGTGATCCACCTGCCTGGGCCTCCCAAAGTGGTGGGATTATAGGCGTGAGCCACCACCGTGCCCAGCCGGTTCCTGACTATTAAGACCAGGAAGGCCGGGCGCCGTGGCTCACGCCTATAATCCCAGCACTTTGGGAGGCCGAGGCGGATGGATCACGAGGTCAAGAGATCGAGACCATCCTGGTCAACATGGTGAAACCCTGTCTCTACTAAAAATACAAAAAATTAGCTGGGCATGGTGGCACGTGCCTGTAATCCCAGCTACTCAGGAGGCTAAGGCAGGAGAATTGCTTGAACCCAGGAGGCAGAGGTTGCAGTGAGCCGAGATTGCACCATTGCACTCCAGCCTGGGTAACAAGAGCGAAACTCCATCTCAAGATAATAATAATAATAATAATAATATCAGGAAGAGTAATCGTAGTACAGGAAAGCAGATCCCATACAGTAACACAGATGGCATTCTCGACAGGGGATATCTCTTCTTTGCCTTTCAGTATTACTCTTGGCTCCTTTTCTTCCTCTCTCATCTTTTAAATTTCCTCTCTTTCATGTCTCTGTCTATCCCTCCTCATTTCTCTCCCCTGCACTGAACCAAATATTACCACAGGAGCACACATCTTACAGCACTCTGCCTGTCCATCCCACTGAACCTCATCCTCAGCACTCTGGTGTGTCATGGAAAATTAAGAACGTTTGAGAAGTACTACGGAAAGCAAAAGTTTAGCAAGCGACGACCACAAACCACTAACCCTGGCCACATCTGGTCACTGTTCTTGACAAAACTCAAAAGCTTTATCCAACACTCAATGGGGGGCCCCCGCTAGCTTATGCAGGTCTGAGGGTTGATTTCACATGCATCCAAATAAACTATTTTAGGAAAAAGAAAACAAACTCAGAAGCC